GAACGTGCAGCCCCTATCAGCTTCATGCAACTTAACTTGCGCCATAAGAGGAAGAGTGACGGCATTGCTGTGGAGAACCTGCAGAGGTCATTTACTAAACATATGATTGGTAAACACCACGTAATGAGTTATCGAGATGGTTGCAATGAACTTCATCTTGAACTAGTTTGGATACGTCGATTAAAGCATAACTTGTTACTGCTTATTAACGTGCTACACAAAACGACCTAGTCCGACATGCTAACACTCAAATTATAACATTGCTCAACTTTAGCGCTTCCAAACGAAGGTTTTACACTGAATTTACTGAAGGCTAGAACCAACTACCGCTCTAACTTCTTTCTGGTCCGATATAGCTTTCTGTGGAATACACTACCAATAACACGCAGGTGATGAGACAATCTGGCAACCCTTAGAAGCAGACTATCCAATTACCTTGATCTAACCACTAGAATTACTTTATTCACATGGAAAGAATCCCTCGATGAGATATTCCAAGAGGGGACAAAAACATCTAAACACCAATGTTTTCATAACTAAGCTTTGGCTTTAACCATCCGCCAGAACGTCACTACATGAACCACAGCCCAATACTCCACTTATACATGTCATCCATGCAAGAGCATGGATGCTTCTGTACAAATTGTTCTTTGTCGCTTTGGACACAGTTTCTCTCATCAAAAGAAATATACGTATTATTATTAGTAGTAGTAAAAACGGCTTTCACAGGGTTTACTTGGTGCCATCATAGTTAAACTATCAATTTCTACAGCCGATACATCTAGCAAGAGAACTGTGTATTAAATCTGCTGGCAGCTTTAAATGGGTTCGGTCCGCGCAGCTGTCAAAGAACATGCTTTTGACTGCACTAATTTTAGCTTGTCACGAGTCCTTGAAGATAACGCTAAAGTAATTTTAAAAAGCTTAATATACTAAGTCTCCAACAGCTAAACCATGAAATATCCAAACTTATTGCACCCAGCGGGCGGATCACTGCCGTCGAATAGCTTATAGAATGTGAGTTGAAGATTCTAGCTGCTGCTTTCTTTAGGACCAGCATTTATATTTTGACTTGCCACGGTTAAGTGATTAGGACCCTTTACATGCAAGAGACGAGCAGTCCTGGTTTGGTGCCTGTGCCAAGTACTTGCATCGCGTTAGGTATTATAGTTGTTAGTTAACGTATCTGCTGGTAGTTTTGCTTCTTGATCATACACCGAATGTTCAGCCTTCGGGTGCGTGTCACCCACAAATTTAACGTAAGTCAGAAACTATCAACTTCGGTTGTGATCGTGTCCCCTTTTGCACATGAGCGGTATGAAACAGCGGTGATCTCACTGAGACAGGACCTATTGGCTGGTCCAACCAGGATAGCAAACAAACACTGTTACTATCTCCCAGAGTTACCAACCTCCACCTAATTGATCGACATTGTACCTAAGCGACATACCCAAGAACGGATGCAAGAGTACTTGTAGAGTACTTAAAAGGATCTACACTGAGTGTGCCTGGCACAGACTGACAAGCAGGAGCATCGCAAAATAACACCCAAAGTTGGTTCCTTGAACTACCAGACAAATTTGGATGACTAAGAGTGGACCAAATTAAGAATATTTTGGAATTACTTTCTGAGCTTCTGGACACAAATATGAGTATTATTCGTACGGAGAAATTTTGAAAGACTGCAGACAAATCCTGTACGGTTTGTTCACCTTCTGAGAAGCAAGTTATCAAGGCTTCAATCCTACAATTCAGGTTAATGATGACACCGTCGCCTTGTCCACCATAGATGTAACCTGACCTGAGCAATGCTTAACCGATTAGATTTACCTTGCATTCTGCGATATCCTGATGCAAACTGGATTTTGAGAATATAAGTGCGCACGATGGTCACGTTCACAAGTGCACCACACATTAACGATTGTTCACAAGTTTCCGGGCATGCCTAAAATTATCGGAAGTAATCTGTATGAGCAGCCATTGATCATGTGCTGACGGAAAGGACTAACGCAGGGTGGAAAGGGACTTCCGGCTGCCTAGATAATATGCAGTTTACCGGCGGCCATGTTCGCAAACTGCCCTCCTGATTCTAAAATAAATTATGGTCTAGTTTATTTGTAACCTCTTCAACAACGGCTAGTTTTTGATGTACACTAATATTACTGTCCTTGATTTTGAAAGCAAATTGCAGAAGCGTATTGCCTTACTCTTGGGTAAGAGGGGGCCACGAACGTTGTGCGTGGTCAGTAAATTGTCGCGCCAAAACTGCACGATCCCCCGTTTAGTCTATACCTTGACCATAACACCGGAAAATGTCTTTGGAAGTAACTTGCTCACAATGAAAATCATCCAACGTGCGCTTGACAGGAAAAAACATCCTTGGTTTCCATCGGGTTACGAAACATATCGCTACCATCCATTTGAGATTTAACTCGACTACGTCTCATTTACCTCATGCGTTTCGATGTTACCTTCCGCAATATTTTAGTAGTTGGTAGTTGCAGCGCTTACTCTCAATAAGAAGATACCGAATCAAATGTAGCTTTAGCTTTTCACTAGTAATGTAGACTCTTATCACTTTTTAAATCCACTAACCGGACAGAATTCTAACGAATAATCTTAAGTATGTTTCACCTCTGGCTAACAGAGTCACGAACCGGTGTCTCAGGTTTGGGTTTAAAAGGAAAGAATTAAAAATGATAAGTTATCTTCTCGGTTCCAGCAAAGGGTGAGCGGCACTTCCGACTGACAAGAAAATGTGTGTGTGTGTGCTCTTATGCCTGCGCAACTTGACTTACTGATTGACGGTGCACGCTCTTCTTTATCATACGCTAGATTACTTCTAACTGTAAGTTTATCATAAGGAATTCTTGGCTTTTTTCAATCCAGTCTAGAGGCTGAAGTTCCCACAACCCACATTCGCTGTAACCAAGACATGATGCACAATAGAAACCAAGGCCGTTTACTTTATTACTATCTAGATGGACTTCGCTTTGGACGACAAACACCTCCATAATCAAATCTATGTCGTAATTCACAATAGTTGGATATACTGAAGATCCCAGTGCATGCATGCGCCTATCTTTGTAATCTGGAATCAAGCTATGCTTAGTAGCTTGGAGGAATTTGTGGACAGTTTTTCCACAGTATGTAACAAGTGACACAATTAAAGCGCAAGTATTCTCCTAACGAATGACAAATAAACTAACATATAGTTGGTGGAACAGAGTATTGCAAATATTACACTGCATATCGACGGAATCGTCAGTCACTAGCACACAACAGCGAATTGGACACAAATCGCTTTAAAATCCTCATCTCTAAATGCTGGACAACAGCAGTGTCTCCACTTTTCATAGTCCTACTACTAATTTAAGTTTAACGAGAAAACATTTCTGCGCACGTAGCAGTCGGCAACGGTCTCAGAAGCAATCAACCGAAACAGAACACGGGCAATATAGGTGCAATAACAAAGTGCATCCAAATGGTGAGGCAGACAATGAAACCAAATCTTTGATTAGTTTTCTCATACATGGAAATATTCCTTCTAATTAGAAATCGGTTCTACATCTATTTAGTCAGAGTTGCGATATATTACGCAAACTATTCCTACACGTCCATTTTCCAGTTAATGGAACTTCTGTTGAAGTTCACGTAAAGATTTAATTTTCTCCATTACGGTATTCCGGGTATACTACGTAAGTAAGGTCATACTACTAGTAAACTCGCAATACGCGGAAGTTGCAAAAGTACACTTAGAAAAAGATTGTTGCAAAATGGTTCACCATCAACATTCTCATTTGTAAAAGCCAGGTTTGTATGAAAACAAATGTTTCAAACGGCGGAGTTAATCAAATATTTGTTTCTTAGACGAGAAATTACTGAGTCGAAATCGCCTACCTTGAATAAAGCTAGCTTAAAGGTGTTAATTTTTGAAGAATTTCGTGGTAGCTATATTAGGTGAATAGGATTTGGCGCCCAACGAACATTGTAGGTATGAAATGCAGCATTCCATTTACATACATTGCGCTTAAATGCGTTTTATTAAACCTAAACTAAATAAAAGTAAGCAACATGGAGAAATCCTTAATTTAGATTACCGACCTCTTGGTGATAACGGGCTCGGAAAACCTAATGTAAGGTTTGAATGAAGATGTGCGATAAGGACTCAAGTACTTTGGCCTTCATTGTTTTCAAAAGTTCTGTTTTTAAATAATACCCCGCAAAACATAAAGATATAGCACAACGTGCCAGCTGCTTACATTGCTTATGTAGCTCCATAAATTGATCCGAAAATACTGGCGCCGTAATTGAAAATATGTGCCCATGCTGATCGACATATGATTGTTGGAAGCTAGGTAGTGAGAGAATGAAACTGTATGCAGAACAAGAGATCGAACCAGTTAACGTCGCTTGATAGGTCGCACTTAGCCTGCATGTAAGTACGGCCTGTAATCGGAAAAGTACGGAATCGTGAGTGGCTTAGACACAAATGCAAATTTTACAAAACACCGAGCTGGAGACGACTACTGGTACCATAAACATAAATGTGCACATCAAACTGTACTATGTTATTGGTTTCCAAACTTAACGAAGGGGACAACTATAGTCAGAAATGCATTTCAAAGGGAGGATGAGCCGAACAATACAGCGTCAACCATATGGGATCGCAAAGAAAAGGAGATGGTGACAGAAAATTGTTCATAGAATGGGTGGATAGCTGTTCACTCAAAATTGATTAGTTAGAAAATTATGAAGGTCTATAAGGTGCCAAATTTGAGAACGGAAAAGTACAATCTAAGATGCTAATCAAACTAAACGCTACGCGGCCATTTATTCGTTTTTATTAATCGGAGGTTAAAAAATATTTAGGTGAGTCAAAACTTGTATTGCAAGACTATGGACGTAATAAGCCCGGATAAAATGGAGAAATCATCGGTTCAATTTGATCGACGTGAACGCACAGAATTATAATAGAATTTACAATATTTCCATTTTAGCGACACCATTAACCACGAGTTCAACACGTGAGTGATTATTCCACGATTTTTAATCAATTCCTCATTTTATCATAAGCTATCCTTATTATTGGGGATTCCAAGTAAAGCGGCTTGGAACATTCAGAAGATGAATATGGTTTTCTTCGGAACTATCGAAGGACGAATATATCTTATTATACTAGAATCTACATTGTGTTGCCACGGGTTACCGGCACTTTTAGCAATGCAGCATTGTTTATTTAATGTTGAAATGGTACTTTTATACCGCCTAACTAAGCTTGTTACAATTCAAAAAGATTAATCTTTTCCAACCTCCATCTACCCTCAATTCGCTTGTTTAAATTTGCATGGTAAATTTTGATTTGATTTGCTGTTATACACAGAGTGAACACTAAGTAATTATAACGAGATCGTGATACATATAGTTAGGCTGAATGAAGTTGAGATTCAGAACTTGTCTGTTGTTCGCCATGCCCGCATCTACAGTCCCGTATTTCACCAATACTTTGCTTACATTTACACGTTAACTCGTGTCTATGGACACCAACAGCAGTTGAATTGCACTTGGGACGATCCATATTTAAGGACGACGAAATAGCTGATGACAAGTGGTGTGATACAGTCCAGAATCGGGGGTGAATGTCATCATTTTTTTAATCATGGGCCACTGTCTTCCGTGGACTGGGCGCGAGTAGCATGTAGATAAAATGTGCGCAATCAAGCGGACCACGATTTTGGTAATGGATATAATTGCTAGCCGTGTCTTTTTACTTGGTGTTCATGAATAGAGCACTGGCGACAGGATGTTCATCTTCTTGCTGTCGCTGAGAACTGTATACAGAAATCCTGAACTGGCCCTAGGGCCTGTGTCATCGGTCCTAAAGAATGACCGGCAGCCGACCATCTAAGGGTCGTCATAGACTCTCCCCGGAAATCAACATTCACAAACACGATTCTAACCATCGATGCCCTCAACGGCTTGTATACCAGTGGTAGTATACAATGCTCAACAAGCAAATCAAACTTCGTATTCTTCAAGTCTCTACGCCTTGGGATATTGTTATGTTCACCGTAACAAATACGTACACAATGATAACCGATGTTGAGATTGCTCTACTCGTCATCTATACGAAAAAATCGACCAAGCAGAGGAGGCGGAGTGCTTCTGTATTATTGATCAGACCATCCCGTTGATATTTTTGAGGACCCAGGTATGCAAGTCGTCGGCTCACTTTGTTGTCGTTTGCAGCTAACACGTGGGGATACGTGTATAATAGCAATAGTTTACCTCACTCTAATGTCCAACCTGGAAATGGATCAATGTCTAGCTTCTGCGATAAAGGTAGTCCTGGCACGACAACACCGTCACGTCCTTCTTGTGGGGGACTTCCACTTGCATGCAATCAAAATCCTAGCATTGTAAAGCTAACAATTCAAGGCCAACTTTCAAGAGGTGCAGGCCGATGTACCAATGTGCTACCATTTTTCCTCTCCTATATGATTCTGTACGGGTAACAGACCCTCTGTTTTGGACCTTGTGATCTTCAACAATAAACTAATGGTCGACAACTTGACCAAAGATGATACATTTCACCGCAGCGATCACACGACTTTGCTCTTTCGTTACATCAGTTACTCGGAGTACATAAGTGAGAACTACGTGGAAACCTATGTCGTTACACGTTACGATATGTTGTCCAACCTCGTTCAAGAAACCGACTGGTCATTTCTGGCCGAGCAGTCGCCCAATGTCGCTTGGATGTTGTTTGTCACCTAAATCACCTAACTAGTAAGAAAGGCGTCAGAAAGCAAGGCCTTTCACCCGAAGCAAGTTAACTCGTTTCTGAGGAGGCGTACTAGAAACTGCATGGCTCTAATAGATTCAGCCTGGTGCGCTTCCAGTATTTCCAAGTAACCTGACCTGGAATGCTTACACAACACAACAAAACCACTGCGTCAATTTGCTACGAAAAGACAAACTCCAGCACTAACCGAACTTAGCGGCGAAATTCCGTGTGAATCCCAAGTCGCTGTATAGACACGTCAACAAGCTCCGCAGAGTAAGGCGCGAAATCCCAGTTTTACGTGTAAAAGATGGGCTGGTGCAAATCGCACAAGATGCGGCTACGTACTTCGCTAACATTTCATCCATTCCTTCCGGCGTGAGTCATCACTACATTTGCTTTTGACAGCTTCCATCGTCACTAGGGTTAAACAACGTATCGTTCAAGACAACTGATGTCATGAAAACGTTAATGTTGAGACGCGTGGACAGCTCCCATGACCTGGATGACATCAAACCGTAGGCATTGAAAACAGTGGTCATTAACCTTGTCGAACCATTAGCTCGGTTCTTTCAACCTTGTCTCGAAAAAATGCAGGCCCCCACAATGTGAAAACATAGAATAGTCAACCGTATTTACAAAAGTGGTAATCGTTTGGAGCCCACAAAATACCATCTAATCCCTGTCATCCCAGTTTTATCAAAAGTAATGGAAGTTGTGATCGCGGAGCTGCCCGTGGGATTTCTTGAGAGACACAACATCCCGGTGTCACAGGTGCGTGAAGTTCGTTGAAATCGGTCTTGTACTAAAATCTTACTTCTAGCCCGAAAAAGCAGAACAGAGTCAGTCAGGGCCTGCTTGGGAGTGCGCGTCATCTACTTGGGCTTCTTCAAAGCGTTCGATCGATTAAACCACCGCATTCTCCTGCATATGCTTTGAAGCTATATAATCGCTGACCCCGTGTTCCGATGGATCGGCAACGTCCTCAATCAACGTCAGCAGAATGTGAGAGTCCGCAGCTCCATTTCCAACCCAACTGACGTCGAGTGAGGCGTGTTTTAAGGATCCGTCCCTTAGGTCACGTTTATTCCTAGTATTCATTAACAATCTCTCTAATGTGCTGCAGTAGATTGTCAATTTATTTAAGACGATATCAAAAGTTGCCATGATATCACGATAGCTGATGATCACACCGCTTCGCAACGCGATCTCAACAGGTCTTATGCATAGTCATTCAACTACTAGCTCCAAGTCAACGTGACGAAGTGTAAAGTCGTGAGCACACACCATCAGTTTATATATGAATGTCAACCAGTAGTTACAATCGGCTTCTCAGGAAAACGACCACAGGGTGATCAGACGGGACAATTTTAGCTGCTCAAGACAGACTGGAAACACATCAATAAGATCCAGTCAACAATTCGGAAGCTTATGTTGGTCTTTTAAAAATTACTTGCCAGTAATGTTTCCGCAAGCGCTGAATGCCTAGGTGAGGCCCCACGATGAATATACGATTCAGGTCTGGCTTCACCGGATCAAGTGTGACATCAAAGCCCTTGAAATTCCACAACGTCGAAGGACCAAAGACTTTAAAGAATTGTTTCATGTATCCTACCAACGCAGACCTCAGTCTCTGAGATTGTACAGTGATGAATATCGTCGTCTGAGATGAGAAATCATCATGGCTTACTTAACGTTGAGGAACCCCGCTAATTAATGTCGCAAGCTTCTGAACATGAGCCAAAATACCAACCTGAGAGGCCATCAGATCAACTGGGTTACGCACTACCATGGACTTGACTGTCGATGAAATGCTTTCTCCCTTCGTGCGTCCCGTGCCTGGAACGCGTTTCCGAATCACATCATCCTTGCCCCTATATTGACGCTATTCAAAAATCGCTTTGATGAAAAGCTTTCCAAGTTGTACTATCTGATACAATCCTTTCCACTGGGAAGGCGAAATAACTCAAATCCAACTATGTGCCTTACGGCCGTCTCGGAAACGTAGCCATGAGTATACTTACAGAATAGTCCATGTAAGTAGTATGGATGTATCTACACTGGATTAACCAACGCATCTGTCAAGGGAAGCAACACAAAAATAAGCGCAGTCGTGTCCTTGTTTATTTCCCACAAACTTACTGAACTATAACAGCCCTCAATACTATTTCGTCTGCACATGCCTTTTCCGTTTTTACCTATCGTTATGCGGTAGTGCATTTAAACCGGTAAACGATTAAAATGTCAAGTTACTTATTCGCTGACCCATACAATGTTAATTTTTACTATAACCATTCTACTCTACTTTAAAACCACATACATTTTTGCCCATGATAAATCATTGTTCATAGATGGATAATTATTACTTTCCACCGCTTCCATCGCATGATTAAAAAATTATACTGATATATTCGTTTCACACAAAAATTCCATGGAGCATCGGAAGTGTTATTCCTCAGGCTTAAAATGATCGGGTATAACGGCAACGTAAAAAAGCTGGTGGGTATTTGTTGCTCAAACAAAACGAATTATGATATTTTCTCTAAATAGTCAAACAGCTAACCTCTCCTGAACAACATGAGACCGTTGTTATGAATTTTAGAACGCGTTTGCTGGCATTATACCCTATGTCTATTTTTGTAATTTTTGGTGTCCATGAAATGCAAAATACGATGGTCAAGCAAGTAACAAAACAAGATTCAGATTGTCAGTATGATATTGGATTTTAACAAAACTTGCAGCTTTGCAATTTAGGCTACTGTGATTTAATTATATTGTTTATTTTCTAAAGATTGTACGAAGAAAACCACGCTTACTACGACTGGATTCCCAAGTACCCAGATGACAGGTATTTTCAGTTTTCCATTTGTTGCCATGCGTCTTTTAACGATTTTCAATAGTAACATTATAAGTATTTTATTACACATCAGTTATGTCTGTTTTCCCTTTGATAACATTCCGAATGGTTATCACTTTACAGAAAACTAAACTAAACTTACTGATCATTGTCAAATAAGTGGAAGTTGAAGCGAAAAGCTTGTGTCTTCCATGAATTTGAAATCATATGTCGCAGGCTCTACAAGCTAATCTTTCGGTCTTCACTGCATAATGTCCTGAGTAGATGGGTCTGTCACGTACAAAGTATAATTTCCTATTTTCCGTTTGCGATAAGGAACCGGATATGACCGATGAAAATTCTTCCTTGTATTGTTAGTTTTCTATCAGCTAGTACATGTCGCACAAGGCAGCCGTTCGTGGATACACAGAGAGAAATTGTAGCACTAAATGTAACTGTTAGGCAAATAAAATGCACGCCTGAATTGTATTAACCACTCCTATATAGCTGATAGGCGATACAAAACTATGATGCACTGACGCTGCTGGTGCCTAGATGCTGAAACTTGGCTTAACCCACTGCCTAACGGTGGTGTTTTGGTTCATGTCTTGAAGGTCCCTCTCGTGACGACCGCTGGGTGGGGAGTTGGGGTTACGCCCTCCTCTCTTCTAAGATCCAGGACAGCAAATCCGCATGAGTCACTGAACTGATCGTGCGTTAGACCCGCCAACTTCTCGGATGGGCATTTAAATCGCAAAGGTTTTGCTGAGGACCAAAGTACATTCTCCTGCCAGTGTGTGCGCTCCCTACCAGTATCCTAGTTCCATTAGATGTTGCTCTTAGCTCCCAACATTTTGTTACCTAAGCTCCTCTATTGTGGACTACGCCAAGCATGTTTTCAACAGGACTAATGTATCAAATGGACCTAAGTGTTTGACCATATTTTATTTTCTCGCTCCTTACCGCTACTATCACGGCGCCCCAGTGTCTTTTTGAACGTTTACGCGCGATATTTCTTTTTCATTTTACACTGATGTTAATTATCAAAGTATTCATCTCGGCAGACGTTCGATAGATGATCCAGACATATTTTATTTGCATCATGTTCACCGCTACCATCCTACGGGACGTGTCAAGCACTTGCTTTTATCCCGTGATAAATCATTGTTCATTGTTCATTGTTCACAGGCAAACACAATCACACTGCATTTGGGGGAATCAAACGCACACAAAGCGGTGACTAGACCGTAATCCTCCCCACACTGAGTGCCTGGAACCGCCCTTCGAGCTTAGCACGGCCACACGGATCGTACACCCAGACCCCACCAGCAACGATCAACTGTCTGCTGGAGTCAGTATGGACGAGGTAGTGCGTAATAGACAGATAGGCACCTTGTCAATATGCACAATAAGCGCAGTCACACCGGGGATATCAATCACTTGAAACGACATGATGAAATAAAATAAATACAATAATGCATAGAGATACGGTGAAATTACTCTTCGCAAAATTAACATATGAAGTAACTTGGTTAGCAACGTATCCGCGATAACTAAAATATGTCCACATGTTACTTAAAAATACTACAAACACAACAAGGTTATCGAATACAAGCACAATTAGCGTAGGCACCGTGGCCAGTTAATAGCAGATTATTCTGGTAGGCAGAACAAACCAAATGAAATGGAATGAATTTTATCCAGCTTATAGAGATCGATTTTAGGTGTAATTTGGTATAGCCCAACTGCGGTGAAGAATCAGCCAGACTGCAACATCAGCCTCAGCATGGGGCAAGCGATACATATACCAAGACACTGACATACCTTCTTGGTTAAAAGGATCTGCCTTTAAGTTAACCCGGGGCTTGACCATTTATACTTCAACTCCTAACGATTGAATCTACATTTCCCTTGAAACCCAAATGTATCTGTCTTTTCGAATAAGATCAATGGAATTATCACGGGTGAAGAAGCAAACCTTAAAATTATCCGCAGGTAAAGAGTGAGAATATGTTGCGCAATTAGGAACGAAAGCAGAAGTAACGTATATGGGTGTGGTCCCGGATATTTCAGTAGCACACTTAGTTTCGTTTAGTTATAATGTGCCTAATTAACATTGGTTAGCTCTTCTAGAGCATGTGTTGTAATCTTTTAGCAAGTTGAGTATTGAACTCGGTCAAGGTAGACGAGGAGATAACGGAGATAGCGAGCGCCGTCCACTATTGGGTTACACGGTGAGAACAAATGCCGGCAGTATCCCAACCGCCTGTGTAGTGTGGCTAACTTCAATTGCTGGCATCGGAGTGAGATGTTGCGATTTAATTTTCATAAGTCTTGACTTGCATTGTTTGAATCGATCATTCCCGCGAACTTAATAAAGACGATGTGAGTTGCCACCTTGCAACTAGATCGGGTCAGCTAAGGCCCCACGAACTCTCACACATAGATGAGGTTGAAGCAAGAATGCACAAAAACAACCCAAGATGCGGTCGTCGGTTCCACGTCTCTGAAGCTTGAGAAGGCAGATACTGTGATAAGGACCATCATACGTTTTCCAGAAATCGAGGTGCTTAGCGTCAATAGACTCCATCCAGCTGTCACGGATTAAACGATGCTCCTGGTACATGAGTGGTTTTGAGGAAAGCTGTTTACTCCGCTACAATGATACTGCACCGTCTCAAATATTTCCTGAGGACCTCTGCAATGGTGGATTCCATAAACATAAATAGGATGGGAGGTCAGTTACCGGGCGATTGTTGGCCGGTTCAATGGAGTTGAGCTCTAGTAAATGTGGTTACTACTCCATGTTTTCGCACGACCGGGATTGCATGTTTTATAGACAATGTTAGAAAAACCGGGACAACCATTCAGCTACGCTGCTCTTTACCCTTTTAAATGGCATTAAGTTTAATTTGTCCGCACCTGGAAAACTACGCACATGCGGAAAAAGCAGTCACTTCAGTACGCCTGCGGTAGTAAATGCAATGTAGCTAAGTCCTGGTGGGGCTTTGATCGATGTACGTATTGTAGGGAAAATCAGTACATTTTGGAAATTACAACTGAATTGTTGTCTAACAGCGTTTACCACTTCTTGCACAGTTTACGCTTGCCCTCATGCGGTGTTAAGAGAGGGGATGGCACACTGCAATGTACGGAGTTTGGTTACATATATGGCGGAAGGACAACTGTAAATATAGCTATGCTCACACTCATGACTAACACGCAAACCAGTGAATGAACCAGCTGCATTATGGTAATTGCTATTTGCTAACGAAATTTTTCGACTGCACTTAGTTTCCGATACGACTTTTTCCGGTGTTTATGGTTCAACGGGGTCATATGCTTCAGATTGCTATGTTACACCAAAAGAGAAAGCGCTGTTTTCGGCCACTTTTAGCGACTAAGTGCATTGAGACTTTGGTCAACTTTTATCCACCTGGAACAAAACGACTGAAACGGAAGTGGATAACTTACAGAGGAATTTGAGACTGTTGCACATATCCGTATCTATGACACAAATCCATGGAACAGCCCCGCGAAATATCTTAATACGACACACAGACATTGATGGTGTAAACATTTGTGTTGAGACGCAGTATTTTTCTGTGGTGGCCTGATAACGTTTGACACTTGTTAAGGAGGGTCATGAAATACGTAAAACCATTTCATGAGAGAAAAGCAAAGTCGGAAAAGGAATAGAAGCAGCCTTGTACGTTCTTGCAAGCTATAATATTTAGCTTACATAGGATAAGGAATAATAATGCTAAGGACTGATAATAATAAGCGGAAGTTGACCTGGTTACCCGTCTCGGCATGCAACCATGCTAGCATCAAATGCAACACAGGTCACCAAAAGTGCAAAGTGAGATAAACGACGCGTGCTTTATTCTGCAATACAACTGAGCTCAATAATCCCAGTAAGCGGAAAATTAGACGTGATTTTTACGTTCTAGACGGAAGCAACCCTGATACTATGTGATACCAAGTCAGTTATTGGACAATTTAGACTGAGACTGTATCCAAGCCATGTGCATTAGCGCTGAATATCGATGACGCAATGTAGATGAATGAGGCAGACAAAGTAATCTTAATTTTAGTTATCAAGAAAAAGGGGGATTTAAATTAAGTTATGCAAATGCCGTCATAGATATTCCTAAGCACAGCTGTTAACGTCGGCGGAAGAATAATAGGAAATACTGCTATGTTCACTATTATGAACATCAAGCATTAACGTCATTATGCTTATGGCCGATAAGTTACTTGACGCGATTCTTCACACGGATGCTCCAGAGCGAATTTGATCTAGATACTTGATCCAAAATGGACACTCAAAATGAAAGTTGCTATGGCTTGTATAACAAATATAAAACTGCACTGCTAAGCGCGTAGGCTTACAGGAGTACTTTACACTGAGGACAACTTTTGATTATTGCAACTAAGTATTTACTCAAATGGGAAGACCGCACACTGAGTACTGTACCGGAACCAGCGCGGTTCGGAGAGTATCAAAGCTGAAATGCCGGAACTAGGTAATCAGTATTAAACCAGCAGTGCTTCTAGCAATACTACCAATCAACGACTGCAAATCCATAAGTAATCACTAGTTATGGTAGCAATTAACAATGCTCGTGACATCCGGTTCCGCATTCCCTTGTCAGTGCGGCTCTCACAGGGACGGCAAAAGGAAGCCTGAGCGTTATGATAAACCAAGGGGGGCTTACACTGCATCATCCACAGCTCAATCACATATCCAGTGTAAACCCAAATGAATCATCATCATCAACAGCAGTACATCAGACATTTGGACTGATGCTTCTCTGCCATACAACCATGAGGAACTATGAAATAAAGAATAAGAAGAGGGAGAGATGGGGGACTTACCTGAAAACCTTAATGCCCTAAGCAAACATTCAGGGTCAAGGCGCCTACACCTTGTGTAGACAACATACCGTCACAAACAGCTGGCTATCGTGCAAAGATAAGGCGGCATCAGAGAGACAGCTTCCTTGCAGCTTTCACTGCCCCGCGTCATAATCAGCCATTACCCCGCAAATAACTCAGCACCAAACACACTTTAAAAAGACAATCCGATTAGGAGACGGCAGCAAACGCGCCACTGGTATCGGTTGCAAGCCATGTCCTGTAAAGTCTGGAGCCAAGCTCAAGGCGAGTCACGTGGACTCCAACCCGGAAGGCGAGACGGACCAACGGCACCCAGTTTGATTGTCAGTGACTTCATTTCCCGCTGCCAAGTCAACATCCGTCCACCTCGAGCCTTGCGCCATCCTACACCTGGTAGACTGAACAAGGCCCTCCTAGGTAAGCGGTGACCAGGCATACGTAACACGTGCCCGAGCCAACGCAACTTATTCAGTGCAATTTGTTGATCTAGGGAGCTAGCATGATTATCACTAACTAGTACTCGCCCACGCACATCATCGTTGCAGACACGCTGATGCCATCCAACACCAGCAATACTTCCCAAACAACGATGATCAAATACTTGAAGGCGCGTCAGATCTTCAGACCGAAGGGGCCAAGTCTCACTACCATACAACAGAACGGCCCTCACTGTGGCCTTGTGTACACGGCCTTTCAGACGAAGGGAAACTCCCTTCTGTCGCCAAAGATGACGCAGGTTCAAGAAGGCAGCTCTTGCCTTTGCAATGCGTGAGCTGAAATCAGCTTCTATGCGCCCATAATTACTGATGCAGCTGCCAAGATAAGTGAATTGATCAACCACCTCGAGTTCTTCGTTAGCAAGCGTCAAGGGGTCATCAAGTGGCTAGTGGTCCTGCAGCAACACTTTGCACTTTAAAGTTGCGAAGTGCATACCAAATAATGGGACCACTCTGGATAAGCTATTCAGGGATGATTTTGCCGCCTCAACATTGTCGAAAAGCAAGACGATATCGTCCGCATAATCTAGATCAACTAACCTTTCACCAGGCAGCACTTCAACGCCTAAATCGTGAGATTCCGCAAGGGAACACTCCATGATAGAATCCACGACGAAATTGAACAAAAACGGGGAAATCGGACAACCCTTACGAACGTCACTTGTAGTCGAAAAGCTATCAGTAGGACACCGTAGACCCTGACGTGGCCTGTAGTGTTCGATTATAGAGCACGAAGGATGTTCACATGTTTCGTGGGAACAACTTTTCGCGCAAGTAATTCGAACAGAATCGATCGATCGACTGAATCGAACGCACTCTTGAAATCGAGGAACACAGCTATTGTCGGTCTGCGGTATGCGTGGCGCTGCTCTAGCACCTGTCGCAAAGTAAATATATGGTCTATACAGCCACTTCCTGGCCGAAAACCGGCCTGCTCTTCCCTAATCCGAGATTCTCGTTCTGAAGTGAGGCGACGAACGATAATCGAGGCCAGTCATTTTGTCACAACTGGCGTTAGGCTAATAATTCTCTGGTCCGCACAGTCTGTGCGACTGCCCTTCTTGTATATTGCCAATATAATCAATTCGCTCCAATTACCCGGCACACTCTCTTCGTTCCAGATATGTTCGAATAGGGAGGTCAGTGCCCTGCAGAGGACCTCACCTCCATCCTTAAATAGTGCAGGTGGGAGGGAATCCGGGCCAGCGGCACGAAAACGATTGAGGGCTGTGACCGCGTTTCGGACCTCGGCCTCCGACGGAGGCTCTAAACTAACCGTCCATGGCTCGTCCTCCATCATCTGAGTAGGAAGAGGTCTGGGAGCAGGGGGCCAGCTGAACTGATGTTCAAAGTGCTCAGCCCAACGAGCCATACGGCGCTCCGTATTGTGTATCAGCGCACCTGCGCTGTCTCTGATTGTCTCACTGACGCCTGGTTTTCTGGGACCAGTGGTGCGGATTAGCTGGAAGAGCTTACGGTAATTGCCTACTGCTCCTGCCTCCTCCATTTCTTGAGCCCGACTGGTCCACCAGGCTTCCTTGTCAGCACGTAGGCTCCGCTTTAGTTCACGCCTAATAGCCCGTCTGGTCACCTTGTGATCAGAACCAGCCGGGAGGTTTCTTCTAGCTTCCAACAGGTTCACCGACCTCTCGGATATCCAGTGACTGGTGCGGTGACGAATGATAGTGCCACAAACAGATGCTCCTGCGTCGTGTATAGCGGACGGGATCCTATTCCACTGAAGTTCAATGTCATTAGGAAAAGACAGCGAGAGTTCGCTATGCAGTGCTTCTTGATAGGCTTGCCTGACAGAGGGCTGGGACAATTTCTCCGTTGCCAATCGGGGGAGACACTTTGTGCGCCCTCCGGTAAAGTTCATGGAGATGCGACAGCGCACCGAGGCATGATCAGAGTCGACACAGGTACTCCAGTACGAGCGGCAATCCAGAATGGAACCGCGCCACCTGTAACCTATGGCTATGTGGTCAATTTGGGTCCATCGCTGGCCAGCTACAGGTGGACGCCAAGTGGCACTTCGGCGCCCACTGTGTCTAAAAGCACTGATAGTAAGAAACAACTGGTGCTCTGCACACAGTTGCAGCAGACACTAACCGTTGTCAGTCCGTTCGGAGTTATGTCCATATTTACCACCCAGCTGAGCTTCTGTAGAGCTCAGACGCCCTACTTGTGCGTTCATATCCCCTGCAAGTACTATAATATCTGGACTAGTAGCAACGCATAGTAGCCCTTTCAGTTCGTGAAAGAAAATGTCCTTGACTGCATTAGAACTGCAGTCGGTGGGAGCATAAACGGAAATCACAAACAAAGCGTTTTGTTTTACTTCGCGAATTCACCTTAGCTGATGTCGTCAAACGGGCTGCACATAAACAGCTGTTTACCGGAATCCAATCAACCAACTTTGACTCAGCCTTGGAGCTGAGAATGATAAATACACCAGCTTGACCGGTGAGTGCCGCATCGGCGTCTCCGGATGCGTGCAACCAATAACGAGAGGATAAGCCGGGTGCAGTCAATTCAATAACCCCGTTAGGGTCATTAATCCTAGTTTCGGACACACAACACACATCAATACCCAGTGTGTCCAAGGTGCGTGCGAGTGCAGCCTGCTGACCTGTTTTCTTAGAGTGCGGACTTTGAATGTCGCCATGGAAACGGGAAAGCGTGGCCTTATAAGGGAGTTTCGCCGATAGGCGTCCGATAAGTGCTGTGGGATGGTGGATGCAGATGGTACTACTCCAGTAGCACTTCGGTTGCTGTCAATTAAGCTGGGAATTATAGAAGGAAGGTGAGTAATGGGGTCCGGGATGGGAGTAAGAGAAAAAGGTGGAAAAGAAAGAAGGGAGACGCCAGCAGTAGCATGTTTTCGCTTATCCGCCCTGCTGTATACATCAGATAAGGCGACCCTTGATAATCTGCGCGACGGCCGATGCAGGATGAAGTTTGTGTTTGAAGAAAATATCATGGTTGTATGTGGGCTGGGATATTTCCAGGGCGCCCAGACCTAGACAGTAGGACGATTAGGGTCCTCATCAAAAGTCTTTGGCTCAAAAGCCTGTCCGCAAGGCAGCGGGGTGGCAGTGATTTAGTATTACAGAATTGGACGCCATCCCATTTCAAATCCCCAACCTGGAGGACCAGGAGACTATGTTTCTCTGACCTCTCACCATTGACCAACCTGGTAGGAGTAGCTCTCAAGATGTTCGGAGGCATCACCCAGTATAGCTCAATGGGTCAATGAGGTACGCAAACCGTCGCACTACGTTAAGGTCCAGTCTCGTTGCGACGGAACCCAAATGAATAATACCGGACGATATTTGGCAGTCATATTAACTCAAATGAGCCGACCCAAACTACATCAACATCTCCAGATAAGACTTTCCAGTCAGTCTAATATAGGAATTAGCTGAATCAGATATACACTAGGAGATAGGATGGGACGTAGTTCGCTTCACATTGACTGGACAGATATTTCAGCCCAGCACGGTCAAGAAGACCATGCACCTCGTCCGTCTCAACAACACTTTAAATTCTTCTGGAGGCAGTAATCGTTGTCGGGTTGGCAGACTTGTAGCCACCCTTATCTAGGATCATTTAAATACATGCATGCATACAGATCCATTACGCAAGTTTTACGCTTGAAGTAATATATCACGTATGCCAACTCTTCATGTTCGCATCATCATTATTGTGTGTCTCGCAGTGTCTAAAATAAAATATTTTGCTGAATTTTTCATGCATGCATTTGTACTGGAATATCGAAAGAACCTGAATAGTGACGACAAATATTAGGAGCGCATATGACGTGATTGAACTAATTTAATCATTATTAGGTATAGAAATGAGTCTTGAAAAGTTAAAATATTGCAGAAATTACCACTCACGTGTTGCTGTGGATGATCCGGTTAGAGCTGAAAACCGACAATGGCACATACAATTATTGCGGCTGAAAAGAATTATGACCTATTTTTGGCAAGCTTGGCTTGGCTCACCTGACCTAATCTAATTTTCATTATCATCCTAAGTATAAATAATTATATAATTCACACAGAATATCATGACTTTCAAAGAGGTGCTGTTGTCCACCCTTTAAAGAGCAGGCCAATTAAACTTTACCACTTTATACTGGACCAGTGATCAGAACAAAATTGCGAGTCGCAACCCAACCACACAACGTGCTCCCTAAATTCAGATTTGAAAGAAGAGAGGACTTTCAATAATATGAAATAATACCCCGAGGAAATAGTAGAATTATGATGTAGCGAACACGCATATTTTCAGTGGATAATCATCAGCCAAGTAAAACCGTAACTCTGTAGGTCCAAATTTTACATGTGAATTACAGACTTCAATAAATCAAAATATCTCATCAATAAGGCTATGTGATTAACCTGACTTGTATGGGGTCGGGTAGACTTGTATGATAAGTATGCTTAATTGTGTTAGTCTGTGGCCAGGGTAGAGAGAGCGTCTGCACAAAATGTTTCTGTGTGCACAACTCCGGGTTAGGGAGCCGAATTGCGATTGTCTCTGCTGTCGTCAGCAGACAGCACCTGACAACTCTTATGTGGCGTCCTGGCATACAGTAGAAAGGTTGAAACGAATCGTTTGAGTTTATTTTCTGCTTAGTATTCCCTGAATATGACTACTCTGGTCGTAACATTCTTCCTCACACCACAGTATAGCCAAGCGGGACAATGCTTTTGCGCTCTTACGGACGTGATCTTTTTTCCTAAATACTTTGCTCGACACGATCAAGAGAAATGATACACACAAGAGGGAATTTATGACCGGGGTATTCTTTTTTTGAGCTGCTGGCGCACGAATGGTGTTGGGATGAAGCTGACAGGTAATTCTCCGGTAAACTGCGTTTTGGCAAGGGCTAGGGTACGCCTTTGGGTTTCACTGCTCTATCGCGTCACCCTTAACCGATAGTGATAAATATGTTATGCGCTTCTCTATGGAAGCGGCTTTAGTCTTTGGTACTTGCGGTTCTATATGCTTCTGGATGAATTGTTCTGGGTATCCATATGGTTCGAACACCCTAGGGATCAAACTTAGCTCCTCAGAAAGCCTATCATCTGTATTTATTCGTCTCGTTCTCATAGTGTGACAACAGACCGGAATACTCATCTGGCCAATCGCAATGAGGCTGGACTTTACCGTGGTGCGACGTTTTACTTGCTTCAGAGCAAAATTGACCTACGCTTGGTAGCGCTTTTTTTGCACGTTCAAAGCCACTCATACCAGTTTGATCAATGGTTAGAGGCCAGGCAAGCTCAGCCTCCTGTCCTTTAGGGTGGGGATTGGAATAAGGGAGGTCCAGATTCCTCAAAACGGACTCTTTGTAACCTCACGCCAAACCTGCTGCCTTGCAGTAAGGTTTTTGAACCAAATGCTTTGGTTGAGAACCCTATCGTTCTCCTGTCTAGGCCTGGATTACCTGACATTATCCTGCCCACGCCATACTATGAAGCTTTCGTCAAACAGTCTCCTGATATTCTGGTCAACGAAGAGGATAATCAACGGTACCCTATCGGCCGCATTGAGCAGGGTAGATAGGTATTTGGATGCCACTGCGCAAGCCTACCCACCCTCTTATTCCCTCTCTTCCGCTTTTTCATTCTTACTGCCCGTTCCAGCTTCACTTTTCTCCCCCCCATTTTCATCTATTAATTCTTGGCACCTTCCCACCTTGCTTTGGTAGGCTTACACCTTTCCTTTAAACTCACATGTGAACGCGGAGCAACATTTCTGCACTGTCGACAAACCCAGATCTTAGCATGCGGCCAAGCCCAGTTCATCGCCTTACATTTGAATCCCTCAATCATCCTTCAGATTTGCATGCCTCAATGTATGCACATTGCTACAGATCGGTCAACAGGCAGCACTTGCCCGAACACTACAGACTCTCTCGATTGATGTCTGCTGCTTATTGGAGATCTGCCTCCAACACTCGATCTCATTGCTCACTTTTCGATCCAATTCAGGTGATACCAGCAGCAATTTCTCATTACGCCTATCCGGTGACGAAGCAGCTTTGAGCACCGGCCAAGTCGATCTTGGTATTGCTCTAAGTCCCCAGGCTGAAGCAGCTCTGGTTGCTTGGATTTTAAGCAGTACCCGGTCATGTGCGGTCCGGTTGGCTGGCCCTATCAAAGCTTCGAAGCCGAGCTGAACTAACAGGTGTCTATTCATCATCGCTGCCCATGCTCCCACAAACTAGCGATGATTCGGTAAACGACGACTTCTATCGACAACTGAATGTGCTCCTTTTTCACAGAAGTAGCTCGGACACTGTTGCGCTGGCTGGGGATCTGAACGCTCAAGTTGGAAAAGTAACCACATGTGATGATGACGGTGAGCGGTTACTTCATTCGTGAGAAATTCTCGCTTATTTCTTGCGGGCACTAATTTCCGACACAGTACCCGCCGGAGGATGACTTGGCACCCACCAACCTCGAAGCAGCTATGCACGAAAATGGGTCACATTGCGATACGTTACAGATGGAGCGGTTGTGTCCAGAACTGTCGCTAGATTTGGAGTACATGTGTGGACACCGACCATGTGCTTGTATGTGCTGACCTGCGGATGTGTTTTGGTGGACCGCCAAGACGACGTTGTGAGCGCACTGACACCAAGCAATTGGCGAAACCAGCTGTTCTGAATGCCTATCAAGGTACGCCATCATGCGCGTTAAGTAAGGGCTCAATGGATGCAAGTGAAGCTCACTGGTCTCATATTCTCCTATCTTTACTGGCAGCAGGAAAGTCCTCATGTGTGTAAGTCTAATATCCAACTTGGACAGTGGGTCTCTTCTTAGTCTCAGGAACTTATCCATGCTCGCAGGCATACTCCAGCTGAAAGTGAACACGATGAAATTCGCAAAGAGCTACGGGCAAAACTTCGTGCTAGATTGAATAGATACCGCAAATCCTGGTGGTCTCATTTTGCTTCAGAGATGGAAATGGCCGCAGCCCTTGGTAAACATCGTAAGTTATTCCGTCTGAGGCGGGAGAGGTAACAGGAGACTTGGTGTTAGTAAAACTATACGTGACGAAAGTGCGCAGCCTATCCACAAATTGTCAAAACGCTTGGAACTTTGGGATAAAGCATTTTGAAAGTAATTTAATCGGTCTGCATTGTTAGATTTCTCGTCGACCACAGACCGCTCCACTCCCTGTGATGTCCCTTTAGAACCACCCCCTCGTTCAGGTGTCGAACGTGAGATCGGACTTTTGAAGGTAAATAAAACAGCGGAACCAGATGATATTCATCCAGCCCTCTTTAAGTTCGGGGTATCTTCTATTGTGGATGATTTATACGAGCTACTAGTAGAACTGTGGAAGCAGGAGACTTTATGAACCGACTGGAGCCGCTCCGTCATTGTCACACTTTTTAATGGAGGCTGACTAACGGAAAGCGTCAATCATACAGGAATCAGTCTGAACTCCATCGCCTCTAAATTGCTGGCCCTTGTCATCCCTTACAGACTGACTGGCACTCCTGAGGGCCAGATTCATGAAGAGCAAGCCGGGTTTCGTCGATAACATGAGTGCATTGAACACATCACTAAGTTGAGTCAGTGGTTGGAGCACCATCACATATATTGGAGGCCCAAATTTGTTGTGTTCCTCGATATAAAAGGTGTATTCTATTCAGTGGTTATACGTGCATTTTGGGACTGTTTATTTAAGAAAGGTGTGTACTGAGTGAGACGTAAATATTACCCAAGCATTATATGCGATAAGCTCATGCAAAGTGAGCGTCTGCGTCAAACTCTCATCGAGTTTTATTATATCCAGAGGTGTAAAACAAGGATGCCAGCTGTCAAATTTCCTCTTCAAGTTCGCTATTGACGAAGCATTAGAAATCGAATGCACGGGACACCAATTAGTAGGTGTCCTGCTGCTTCCAGTAGAACGACTACTTGACTTAGAGTATGCTGACAATATTGCCCTAATCTGTGACATCTCACAAACGTGCCAAGCGGCCCTGGACAGATTAGCACTGGCTTCAGGATTTGCTTCGCACCCTCGAATTGCAAAGCTTTCCTCCAAGATTGGTCTGGACCAAATCTTGCGCTGATCCTTGGTAGTGATAAGCTGAAGTTGTCTGAAACTTCATTTATATGGAATTTGTATCAGCGCCAGTGGGATTGAATATGAGATAATGAAGCCGATAACGAAAACTGGAGGCTCTTTTGCCAAAATTCGCCACTTATGGCGCTTGCGCAAAATCCCTCTCGCCTTGAAGGGTAGAGTGTACAATGCAGCGATAGGTTCAACCCTACTGTACGCTTGTGAAAACTGGCCCCGTAGATCAACATTCGTATGTCGGTGCCTTCGCAGTGTAGCTCAAATCTGGTGGGAACACCTAATAAACAACGAGCCTTTTCGCCACCTTGTTTAAGGCACAGGAAAAGGAGATGCACCGTTCAGCACTGTTATTTCACTCTCCAGGCTCCTATGTCTCTACCATGTGTTAAGCATGCCAGCCCAACGAACCCCCGCGATGTGCATTGTCTGCGTGCCGGGGGTGTGGAGGGAAGAGGGTTGACCAAGAGATGACATGGTCGGGAGGAATAAAGCCCCTCACTACATAGGTGGCCTCGGTTGTGGCTTCTCAGCTCCTTGGTTGGGTTCCGAAAGACAATGAACATGTTTGGCTGGATACACTTGCTGATATAGCTAGGAGCCGACCTCAGTGGCTTTCGTACTTTGAGTTTCTTTGTCCCACCCCATCCCGCTTAGCCTCCCTCTCCAACCACGATCTCAGTATTTAGCCTTACATAATTTTGCACAGTAATAATATTTTTGCATAGCAGCCGAATAGTAGCTTACCGGAACGATGCCCATCCGTTACAGGTGGCTCAGCTGGCTTACATCTGTTTCATTTTACCCCTTGTTTCTTTCATTAATTTGGGAACTTTAGCTGCGATTTTTCCCACATCTAGCTAACTTGCATAATAATGAGAATGACTCTTCTGGCTGATTGGAACAAAACTATGGAAGTGGGTGTATTGCACCTTCTAACTTCCCTTACTGTGCACTCTCCTCTGCATTATCACGTCTGCTGCCCTATTCAGCTGAACGTCTAGAAAGGCCAAGCAGTCGTCACTTTCCAGTTCGAGTGTAAAGTTATGATGTCATGCGCGCAGTTGAAGTGTGCCAGCAGGTCTTCAATACACACCCCATCGTCCGCAACACAAAAGATGTCATCTACATAAAGACCATAATAAACGAAACTTTTGATGGACACTTTCAACGGTTTGCTCTCCAATTTATTCATGAACACATCCGTGAGTAAGGGGCCTAACGCCGAACCCGTGACTACCCCACCTATTTGTCGGCACAGTGATTCATTTGACTGAAACTGGATGTTTCTAGTGCATGTCAACAATAGTCGCCATAATCGGACTGGTGGGATCCGGACACTTGTCAACACCAGTTACTAATATCTTGGTTATAAACCACTTGCCAAGCATATTTTGAAGAAGGAACACCTAGGCGTCCTCAAAGAACTCAGGCAAACTAAGAACGTACTATAGTTTTAACCAGATCAAGGAGCCGGATGGTTCTGATGAATAAGTCAGACTATCTTAGAATTATGTGTGCCATCCTTACTGATGACTCGAAATTTCGAAGAATGGCTAGCGAGAATGATAAGAAGCAGGCAATTGAATGGTACATAAAGAAACTTTTGCGTTGCTTACATCTAACCTAGGTCTGGAAGAGCGCGACAGCCTTGTCCCGATTGGCTATAATGCGGTGTGAGGAAGAATGTGACGAGCAGAGTAGTCATGTTTGGTGGATATTAATCAGAAAATAAAATCAGACAATTCGTTTCAACCGATCTACTGTATGCCAGGACGCCACATAAGAGTTGTCAGATGCTGTCTGCTGACGACAGCAGAGACAATCGCAATTCGGCTCCCTAACCCGGAGTTGTGCACACAGAAGCATTTTGTGCAGACGCTCTGTCTACCCTGGCCCCAGACTAACACAAGTAAGTATACTTATCATACAAGTCTACCCGACTCCACACAGGTTAAGTTAATCACATAGCCTTATTGATGAGTATTTTGATTTACTGACTTCTGTAATTCACATGTAAATTTTGGACCTACAAAGTTACGGTTGTACTAGGCTGATGATGATCCACTGAATATATGCGTGTTCGCTACATCATTTTTCTAATTTTGAAAATGTCAATATTAACTGAACTTCAATTGTTTCACTTACTCAGCGAGAATGGTATTGCAGTAATATCAAATTTTCTTGCTGGGTCAGCTGGGGTGTTCTTGAGCGCGACTTTTAAACTCGTTTCATCCAAAACATCTTGATTTAATGTTGCGAACCTTGCTACATACCTTCCCACTGGATGCCTTCTGTGTGGTGGCGATACCGAACACCGAGGGTCGGTAGTAGTTAAATCTGGCTGTAGTTTCGTCCAGCTGAGGATCTACAACGTCATAAAAACGTATTGGGAGTCATGTACAATTTTATTTCGCATGTGGTTATGGACGATACTACTTCACTTATAAGTAACAATGAGGGATTGCATTAATATTTTCATGGTGTGGTGATAAATATATATTTGCAGATTGTTTAATGTTAATCCGAACGGGACTGCACCTTTATGGCTTGTGCTAAATAACATCATGGGTGAGACCCATAAGACATCCACAAAATACATGGGTTACGACCTCTTTCACCTCCCACTACGTGCTAGTTCCTTATAATTAATATACAGCAATATTCCAGTTTATTAACTTTGTTTTGTAGACATTCATGCGTCTAGTGGCTGGCTTGCCAATAACTGTTCGTGATACCAGCTGGTTGATCCCGTGTCTACATCTTGCAGCAATACATGCTGCTTTATTATTCAAGGACGTGACGGGTTTCTCTCTGGCAAGCGAGCTCCGTAAAAGGAGCCAGAAATGTTTGCTTAAGAACAATAAAACATTATGGTTCTGAGTCGCCGGTAAATGAAGTCACTTTCTTTGTTTCAAGTTGGAGCGCTTTCTTGACTTCAGGTCATGCGATCGTGCGTGCCAAATTCCTTTTGAGCAATGGAGGTACCCAGCAACTTCTCTGCAAACAACTTGACGGGGATAATCTAGAATCGCTATATTTCCCTAGGCATTTAAGAACACCTTAGCTTCAACCTGTGTCATATTTCCTCTGACGCAGAGACACAATAGACAGAGCTCCAAGGCGCTTTACTAAATTTAGCAACGCTGGTCTATGGATTTATTAGACAAGCTGCTAGATATTCATTCTCAGCACGATCTCACCAAATAGTGGAAAGCCGTCAAAACATCAATGCTAATGTTTACGGCAAAGCACCACGTAAAACTGCAGATGCTGAGCTTAAACAGCTCCGCAGCGAAATCCTGATGTCTGGTGGACAAACTGTTTTGTTCAGATGGAGTGAACAGCCGGCTCCTGGAACTTCCGCAAACTCTTCCATTTGATTCGGTCCAGGAAATACAGAAGGCTGACAGTGAGTATGGTTTTGTGCGTTGATGATGTGGAATTAATCCAGTCACCACTTTCTCCTTGTACGCTGATTAGGGCGCTTTGAAGGGCAGTTCAACTGTCTCCAGCATAGTCGAATTCATTTTCCGGTAATCACAGTGCTTCCTGGTGGGTAAATATTTCCCACCGACTGACTCCGAGGTGCACTTTGAGCATTGCCTGCTAAAAGTGACTTACTTAACCTAGCCCAAAGAACTACTTCTGGCGCTCTTCCAATATGGAGTCCTGGTCTCATCACTGTGAACTGATATCCTAATTCCAACAGATTTGTACTATCAAAAGATTGCATCCGACTATGGTTGGCGGATGTCGTACACTTCTAGCAAGCAGGAGACCAAACTGTTTACTTCAGTTATCACTAATGAGTAGCAGGATTTCATTTGATATTTCGTTAAGGTTTTCATCCCAGTATTTCACAAGCTACATAGCACAGTCTAGTCCGGGATCAGTCGAATTTGTGTTGTATCCAAAGTGCTCTCCGCCGTAACCTTGCAGAATCGCCCTTACGTACGGAACAGCACCTGCATTGTTAATAAGCCTTATTTGCAGGTGAGTCAGTCATATTTTAACCATCAGCCAATTACTTGACTACCGCTAACAGTTCAGTCGACCTACCATAGGTGTATTCTTGGAAGTTTAAGGCACGTTAGACCCAGTTGACAGTGGCTGTCTGGAACAGTTTACTGAAGAGTGGATTGCCCGAAAATCAGATCAGCATTCTCCGGGTGTTTACTACCAAACCTGGAGAAGCATGAGATTATGCAGTGAATATTCGTCCTTTTTAAGTGGCAATAGTCGTGTTAGATAAGGTGGCTTAGCATTTCCCCGAGACACTTTTGTGACCACATTTGTGCACACGTCAACAGTATATATGTTACGAGAACTATCATCAAATGTGTAGGCCAAGAAACATGGACAGGCAAACAAAGGATTAGGATCGTATCTTGATTTCATTCTTGTTAGACCAGATAAATTAGCGGGAAGGATGTTAATAAATCGATACGACTATATCGCAAAACTGCATGTTATTTAGCATGACTCGAGCAATTTTATACATAAGGCAGTCCACAAAGGCAGCACTACAGAAGATGAGCTAAAAATTACAAGTGTCTGATGGCCAATAAAACAATGCATATTAAAATTACGCCTTCGTCGATCGACTAACTCACGTTGTCTCATCGCACCCAGTTCTACCGAGGATGCAACCAAATTTCTGCAACTTAAATATGCCCCAATTTGCCGACTTGCTCCCAGCATTTGTAACATACCTGTCCCATTCTCCTTGATGCCAATATTTACACACGTCACGTTGCGTTCAGCGATCGTTTTGAGGAAGTTGCTGTCGTTTCGCAACCGTAGTTCCACCGGAATTGACAACATTCTCCCGGAAGCGCTGTAGGTGGCAGCTACGAGGATAGCTGAAACATTAACAAAATGTTTCCGAAATTGCCTGGACGAACAGCAGGTCCCTAGCATGTGGAAGCAAGGCATCATTACCCCGTTTTTCAAAAGTGGTAGACATTCAGAGTCAGCCAACTATCGTCCAGTGACTCTCCTCCCGGTGCACTTTAAGGTGATGGAATCGATCATAGTGGAAACTGTAATGGACTACTTCGAAAGGTCTGACATCATAGCACCGAAGCAAAACGGATTCCGTCAGGAGCAGTCACATACTACCAACTTATCTTGCTGGTGACAGTTGGATCGAGATAGCTGACCGTAGGAACGGCAGTGATGTCATCTATATAGACTTTTGCTATGCATTCGACAGTATATATCACGGAATGCTTCTCCAACAGCTAAATCACACAAAGTTGGAAACCCTATCCTTGGATGGATCGGTAACGTCCTCTTTCAGCGGCGCCTTCAGGTTCGAGTTCGAGGATCATTTCTGATCAATTTGCTGTTGACTATGGTGTTCTACAAGTGTCGGTGTTAGTGCCGCGGTTATTCTTGTTCCTCATTAACGACCTTGCGAGTGTCAGCAAGTCGAATGACCTGCATTTTGCCGGTGACATCAAGATAAGGCGGGCAATAGACTGTCATGAATATCACGTGATGTTGCAACGAAACATAACCGGCGCTTTTAAATGGTCAAAGTTGAATATACTTCCGTTTACCTCGGACAAGTGCAATACAGTGCATGTCCGCCACAAGCCCACGTATGCAAATAAGCTTGAAGTCGATCTGCTAAAAATCGCTTCACAACAGCGAGACCTTGAGGATGTGATCCAAGTCGGCCTCGGCTGTGCGGTGCAGTCCTTGAAGGCGTCCAATACCGCTAACGAACATGATGATCTGTTACGGAGGGTGTTCGGGCGGTTTGACCTTTCTATTTTCTTAATGACGCTCGGTGCATATGGGAGGTTCCATACAGATTACGCGATCCAGGCTTGGCAACCTTGGTTAAAACGCGACCTGGTTGCACTGGAAACCACGCACACACACGAGAAATATGAAGGGGTTGTTCTACCTGCAATAACATAGGCGACTGAAAGTCGTGGGAGTGAACAGTCGAAGATTTCCCTTCTACGGTGTGACCTCATCCTGGCGTTTCAGATTTTATAATACCTCTGTCATGTTTTCCGCCAACTCCTAAAGCTTAGTTGCAACACAGAATTGCGGAGTTATGAATTGAAACTTTCCACCCAATACAGTCGGCATGAGTGCCGCCGGAATTCTTTTTTCCTTCGAGCTTGGCAACCTTGGAACGCTTTTGCTACTATTATCATTTCAGCGCCCGCGTTACCTATTTTTAAAAGGACTAGACGATGCATTACATCATTTACATTACGTGATCTGATTTCTGTTTATTGAATGACAACAAGACGCAGTCAAACATTGTGCTCCCCAGCACCACGAAATGGGGATTAGATGGAGATACCTATGGGTTAAATTGGATAATATGGTGAGTCCACAGATGCGCTTTTCGCATTTATGTAACTCCGTTGAACTAATGTTCTTACCGCAAACCATCCCACGGGACTTGTCAAGTCTTGGTTTTTTATCCGTAGTATACCATCTTTCCATTGGCCCCTTGTACCTAAAATGCACAAGCCGTAATTCCTCTTATGTCCTACAATTGAAACACCGGCTTCCGCTTTCTCCTCAGTTACAAAATCACTTGTCAAATTACTGGAACTAGCACTCAATACACTAATCAAACCCTCTCTGAATTTACTGATAAAGTTAAATGCATGAAGTTAGAACATTACGTTTCCCAAACGCACCTTCTGAAGGTATGCTCTAGTTTGATGTGGAACCATTTTTGACAAATGTTCCATTGCTGGAGACCGACACCTTTATTTTCGAATGCATAAAAGAAAAACAATTAAATGTTTGCGTTAATCTGCCTATATTAAAGGATCAAGTCCTGCGATGCATCTTCATTAAGCAGGTTTTCGTTTGATGGAATATTGCATCAGCAGTTTACCGGAGTTGCTATGGGTTCAACTCTTGTCTTCTTATTCCGGAGATTTTCACACAAAGCTTGTACGCGGTCCGGTCGCAACCGTTATTGCTTCAATGGAATTCTACTGCAAGCACATTGAGGATCCGTCTTTTACCTATGATTCGAACGTTGCTGCCGTTGAGTTAAGCGATCGACTGAACGGTGTGCAACCATCAATTAGATACAATAGAAATCGAAAAGGAAGAAAACCTGTCGTTCTTGAGCGTATTACTAATGAGACGATAAAACTGCTCTCTTGAAGGAGGCCACTTTTAGTTGGCTTCGTCAGTGGGACAACAGAAACACTTTCCGAGTTGCGTGCCTCCAAGTTATTAACGTAAATTAGTTCATTTAGTCAGAGCAGTGAGAAGACATATGTTGCGATATGTTAACATTTCGATTGTTCTCATCAGTCGCAAAACACAATACAAGCGGGATTCATGGACAGTTATATACAGGGGAAAAGGTTGTTACACCAATCAAAATGTTAAAATCAAGACCACGGTAACTTAATTTATTGTCTCAATAGTTTCTGTGCACACAACACAGGTTGATAAGCCCTAATTAACAAGGCCTCACTGATTGCCAAGATTAGCGGATTGTTGTTACTTAACAACATCTTGAACGCAGTCTCCGGGTTCACCTGATGTCGGGTTGCCCAGAGATGCTTGGTGATAGACGATGCGGGACTCCGGTTCACCCTCGGATCCACTCCGTTTTGTTGCGTCATCAGTTGTTCCAACCACCTCGGCACATGTTCAGCTACCCTCTGAGCTAACTGACGGTCAGTCCTGCCTATGTAAATATCACCGCAACCGCAGGTGAACTGGTAAATGACGTGATAGGCCGAACTGACTGATGAGTTGCTCTGACGGTCATGAAGAACAAGGCTTCGCGTTGTATGAATGAGTCGCAACTGGGCGGTCGCGTAGGTGCGCGTGACGGCAAACCGGAGTTAATGTCCGATATCATTTGATACCTGGTCTCCTTTGAACGGCAAGAACAAGCAAACATTCTTTTCTCTGCGGTTAACACCGGTATTTTCTCCTTGGGAAGCCTGCCGTGGCTCTGAACGAACTTCTCAGGATACCCATTCGACACCAAAGATTTGAACAAAAATTTTTCTTCAGCTTGCAACATTTCGGGGCTGCATATTCGTCTGGCTCTGTAGAAAAGCGTTTTCACTAGGCCACGTTTGTATGCGACCGGGGCAAAGCTGGAAAAGTGGAGGTACTGCCCACTCCAAGTTGCCTTGCGATGAACCGTACGCTGCAGTGTACCATCAGTCCGTCTCTTAATGAGTATATCCAAAAATGGCAGACTATCATGTTGCTCCAACTCATGGGACACCGATAGGTTTGGATGAATTGAATTCAGAGCTTCCAACAGCCGCGCAAAATGTTCGTCGTGGGTGAAGACTAGGATGTCGTCCACATACCGCTTGTACAACGTAGCTTCACAAATGTTGGCAGTAACTTATCTTTCTATCAAACCGAGAAAAATGTCTGCTAGTACTGGTCCCAGAGGGCTACCCATGGCGACGCCGTCGATCTGTTTATAAGCAGTCCCCTCAAACCCGAACCGTATATTTTCCGTGCACAATAGAATCATATCCCTCAAATACTCCAGCGGCAGGACAACAGACATGTTTTGACTCGCGATGAAATCACACAAATTTTCAACGGTCTCACGTAGAGGCACGTTTGTGAACAGGGAGTCGACATCTATTGAGTACATGTGCTCCGCACCCAGCGACACATGTTCCAGTGTCTCGACCAATTCAAAGGAGTCCTTTAGACAATATGTAGTCAGGAGTTTGCGTACTGGCTCCAACATATTCGCTAGCCACCGCGCAACGTTGTGATACGGTGAGTTGTTCATACACATAATCCGGCGCAGTGGGTTACCTCCCTTGTGTAATTTGGGGGCGCCCCTCATTCTGGGTGTCTGAGTGCCGGTCGGTTTCAACCGTCTGTATTACGCGTCAATGATGTGACCGTGTAGTAAGAGAATCTGCAGTTTCCTCGCCACTTGCTTCTCGACCAATATGTTGTTTTCTGTTGTCTTGTCTAACTGGAATTTCCGTCTGTCCCGCAAAATAGATTCCATCTTTGCAACATAGTCAGACTGGTCCATTATCACAATGCCTGATCCCTTATCCGGCTGCAGAAACATTAGGTGTCCCATTTGTTTTAACTCCTTGATCGCTGTATAGTGTTCGGCTTTTAGACAGCATCTCTGGCATCTCTGGCATATCTAGCTGCATGTTTTACTGCTTCTCGCAAATATGCAGTTTGTAGACGCTAGCATACCAGAAAGAACGTATATTTAAAACACTGCTTTCAAACGATTCTCCTGCCTCTTTTCTAAAGAAACATGCTGTGCTTTGTGAGCGCAATCAGCTTGTCATTGCAGTACAACGAAGTGTCCGTTTTTCACGGTTTATTTAAGGATGATATGGCTATTGGTTTATTAAATAGCTGGCTTTACTACAAAGTGACCAGGTCTTAACTAGCACCAATCCACATATTCTTCCGCAGAGCCCTCTATGTATTGCTGAGCGCCTTAAAGACAGATTAACGACCAAGTCTAGGTCGTACGTGGTATATCGATTTACTTGCACCTGTAAGGTTAAGTACTTCGGACGTACGATAAGGCGTTTGTCGACACGGAGAGCTAAGTACCGTCCTAGGTCTCTGCGTAAAGAGTCCACCTGAACTATCACTGGTTATGTCTTCGAGCAAGTTTTTCAAAATGGACGCGAATATTTGACCAATGATGATTTTAACTTTTTCTGAACCGTGCCGAAACGATATCCTAATGGACTTAGGATACCCACCTTAAAGATACTCCGAGGTTTGCAAACACAATATGCTAGTGCAATACCTCACGTTTTCCTTGTCTTGAATGAGATCCATTCGCATGCAACATTGATGAGGACTGACGGTGGCTTCATTGTTCGGGGCTAACCTAAATTATTTCCTAAAAGGCTAACCAGCTTTGCAACTTGGGATCATATGAAGCCAGTTTTAATCGACTTAAAACGTTCCCTTTACCCGAGCCGAGTAATTTATCTTCCGTTCGAATAAATTGATCCCGTTTGAACACTGCACACTGTCTTGTGCAGCCTTCATTAGCTTGTGTTAATCTAAGCCTACCTTGTAAGTGTATTTGCCTGATGTGTGTTAATGAAAATGGTCACTGCAACCGGGTTTTTGTTCATTCCCATGAGGATTATCAAAAGTTGGCTTCCTATTTGCTCTTTACTCATAGACAAGATACTTGAGACTGTGGTAGATGACTTAAATTCCTGCGTAGTCAACTGCTTCAGGGAGAAATTCCTTTGGACTTGAAGTAACTGGATGACGTCGCAGTTATTTTGCGACTTTCCAGGACGCAAAGCATGTGCCACCCAGGCTAGATAGATCTGCTTTAATGTTTTGTTTGAGCTCTGCACCTTCCAAGTGTAAGATCTTGTTTCAGGACTGGTTAAGTGTCCTTTTATATCGTGCCTTAAATTCGGATTTGTTTTAGTGACCACAGTTCGATGGATGTGGTTTCCATTTGCATCTAAGTTATTAGAGCATATTTTCCACTCGCATATTTTACGTCGTAAACTCAGCTTATCTCTAAAGGGCCAAGTCAACAAACCTGGTTACGAGCAGTCCTACTACATAACTGCGAGACTTGATACCTACCCATGTGCGACATTTAGTAGCTATCCATCCTTGATCACCGCAGTCTTCGGGGCATTGCTGAATTTCGATGGCAACACCACATCAGTGAAGATGGGGTTGGTCGACGAGCCTTTTATTCTGACGAAATATGCCGAACACTTGACAGTATAATCTCAGTGAAGAGGCTTTGCTGACTTGGGCACGTGTTTTGCATGCCCAGTCAACGCTTAACGCGACGCATCCTTTCGCGTACCCAAGATTCGGCTGGAAGAAAAATCAAGGGGCCAATGTAAACACTAGATACAATGCGTTAGGACGCAAACATCTATGCTGGCTGATTATGGGCCCACACGATTCCCAGGTTAGGGATCTAAGGAATGCGAGCTTATGCGGTTTCAACCGCTACTAAGAGAAATGATTAAGGGTGGTAAACAATGGCATATTTGCTATGAGGCATATTTGGGCGACATTTTCTCATTAATTCTACTGTTTTCTCCTGCCTGCGGCACAGCATTTTGTAATGAATGCACCAAGCTCTATATAAATATATATAAATATGTATGTATAGATCCGCATCCAGTGGTATAACCAGTGCAACAACGTAAACGTTCCATTTTAAAAATGCAATGCTAATGCTTACTGCAGGACAAATGGTGGCCACAATTCCTTGGAGCACACTTGGAGAATCATAGGAGTTATTCCATTCCGTGTACTGACCATTGTCAAAGACCGAAACGGCGAAGCGCACATCTATCATAAGCACAAGTTGGACCAAGGTGTGAGACACGACAATACTTGATACGGTCTTAAAGAAAACCACATCTGATTAATCTGTCCCAAGTGAAATACAAATGTTATAAATGACAGGGTAATATGATCAGTGGGATGTTCCGAGCCTGCTCAATACCTGTTAGCACTACGCTGTTGAATACAAATCTGCATCTATGCACATAAGCACAATTATTGATCAATTGTGGCAGTCGCGGCATTCACATAAAAAGCGGCATGCTCTGATGAACAGCCACTTGTTCCCAATAAATAATGACCAAATAACTTATTGTAGCATTCCATTTAATTTAGCAAAATGCAAGTCTACTGATCCGTTTAATATAATCCACCTTTTTGCCTTTGTACCAATAATTTAGTCCTTCCTTGGCTGCACCGTGATTCTACCTGCAGATCAACGAGTGAATATGCATTTTGGAACTTCCTACCCTATCGCAACATCTAACACAATTTTTCGAGTGCTGATGCTAATTCTTCTCCAGTCTTA